TAAAATTTCATGAAAATAAACCAATTTATTAGTTTCATGAGTATACAATTCAAAAGGGTTAGGGTTAAGGTTTAGGGTTTAGGGTATAAGAGTGTAATTCTTAGGGTTTGTACAAATTCTATATGAATCATAGTTTATGATTTCGTTAATGAATTAGGGTTCATATCCCCTATATATTAATTCAGAAGCATTTTGAAAGAGTAATCCTATTTTTATAAATATTTACAGTGGTGTCATTATGCTGATGTGTCAACCCCACATTCATTTTTAGCTAATTGTTTTAAAAAGACTTAAATTAGTAGACGAATTACATGATATACCATTATATATTTTAGGTTATTAAGATATTCTCTTTCTTTTATTTCTTACCAAAAATATATCATGTTAACTATTTCTTTAATTACATTTTCTACCAAAAATCTATTTTTCTCTTATTTTCATTTAAACTTACTTTTGTAAAGTAAATAAATTATCACATCATCCATATAATAAAAAATATATAGATTTTTTGTTATAATTTAAATTTTAAAAATTGAATATAAACTACTCAAATTATTAATAAATAAACATAAATTATTATAATTTGAGTTTATTATACTTTAACATATATTAAACAGGAAGCATTATAGGCTGATGTGTCATTACCTCATTTTTTTCACTTTATAATTCAATTAATTTATTAAGCTATTCTTATTGCCAAACAATATATTTAATGTAAAAATTTCTTTCTTTTAATTAATTCTATTTTGTTCATACTATTATTACTATGTCCAGACACTATTTAATGTAATAATTAAATATTTGGCCACATTTCACCTTCTCTTCAATTCGAATTTTTGAAATAATAAACTAAAATTTTGAATTTACATACTTATTTTCAAACGGTTTTTAATCATCTTTTTATCCAAAATTATTTGATTCATGTTTTCATTTTTAAATTGATTTTAACATATCAAAATATTCAAATTCAACTGAAATAAAGTTTTTCTTTAAAAAAAACATACAATATATATACTACATATTTGTTATATTCAAACGTCAATTATTTAATTCTATACAAAATAAATAAATTATTTAATATAAAATTTTCATTACTAATTACAAACATACATATGAAGATTTGAATAATGTGATACGATTTTAAACTTATTTGTTTTTTCATCAATCATTTAATTTCCAAAATTTCGAGTCTTAATTATTTATTACCATTAACTTTTTCTTTTAGTTGTAGAAAACATAAAAAAATCTTAAAATGGTAATTAATTGTTTTAAAAATTGGTAATTTAAAAGTTGCCTAACATATGAAAATTTAATATATATTCTATACAAAAGTTGCCTAATATACGGAAATTTAATATATACTCTATTTTTACATATTTTTCACTTTTAAATTTAAATAACTATTAGGTTATTCTAATTGCCAAATCCAAAAAGTTCAAAAAACTATTTATTTATTGTTATTTACTTATTTAGAATGTCATTGTCAATGAAATATCTAAATATAAGAAATAAACAGAAGATCAAATCCATTTTTATTGTTTGATGGTTTGCCAGTAATCAAGATTTCCTAAAATAAATGTAAACAACCAATCAAAACAATAAATGGAATATATAATGTAAAAATAATCTTTGAAATATCTCTAAATTCAAATTTATAAGAAAACTTTCAAAAATAAAATGAAATTTAATTACGATATATTCATACCAATCTAAACAATATAGAAAATTTCGGGACAAGCCAAACAAATACCATGAACCCTCTAAATCGACTCTCTCTCCTCATTATATAAGACCATGGCATTTTATTAGATAAAACATCCAGATTTTTCAATGTATAAGTTTTTGTTGATTTTAAATTTTGAAATTGCTATTAGTTATTTTATATACCTACAGATGCACTAACAAAAACTTTCATGTTTGATTTTTTTGTAGATTGTTCTAGCAACGCTCGAGTCTCTCAATCAAATGTCCCATGCCTCGATGACAATATGAAAGGTTTTTGTATAGGATTTGTTACGCTCTCTATATAAGTATCTCTTTTGTATGATTTCGAATTGGTTTTGAGTTGATCATTGCCTACAAAATGTTTCTATCTTTCTTCTATTTGAGTCTTCAGCAATCGATCAGCCATGGATGAAGAGTAACAATATAATGTTCTCAGTATTAGTCTCAAGGAGTGCATCATCATTGGTCTTCTCTTCGTTGATGGTCTTAAGGTTTGATTCCTCTCTTTCCTTTTTCTAATCCATATATACTTGATTTTCGAATAGTGCTTGATTTGGAGAAATTTAGGATTCAAACTCTAATTTGTATCATGTGAACAGATCATGATGAGCTTGAATATATCCGATTGCATGATTTTAAGCTTGGGGCTCTGATCTGCGTGAGTTGGTTCTTGGTTTTGCCAACATCGTGTACACTCACAAATAGAAGCAAATAATTAAATGTAAGATAGAGAACAAGAAAAAAACAACAAGAAATGTATGCAAATGAATCCCAATATGTTGCTCCCATTATACCGTATTATTTACCTAATGTATTTCGATAATCTAATTACTGTAACAACTCCAATAATTGAGAGTCCTCAATTCTCTAATTTGGACAATCATCTTAATAATTCATCAAAGATATCCCATTACCTGTTTCGTATTTAAAAAGCCTTGAATTCTATGAATCCCATCAATCGTATCCATCATAAGACTCCCGATTCTCTGCCATTAAATCTGTGATTCACCTAACGGTATCTCAGTTGTAAATGATATTACCATTCTGTATTCCCAAAGTTGCTACTTTCCTCAATAGAATACATATGATCCTGATATACCCTGAATCTTCATTTACTAATTGAATTTCAAGTGTGTATAATCCCCAATTTATATCACATTAGAGATTGCAATAGAGAAAGATTATATCCTTAATTAGATTTTACTGCTTTCGTTGAAATCCAATTTGTACAATTTCAATCGTATCAGAAAACAGAACTTGAAAATCTCCAAAAGATCCTAAACACTGGACTGCATGCCGAGATTGCCATATGAAAATCCGAATTGTTAATTCGCCCTTAGAATACTTAAGGGATTTATAAACCGGTTTTGTAAAAATCTTCTTTGAAAATATAATTTGTCCTTTATCCTGATCTCCTTCACTATAATATAAACATCAAAAATTATGATTTTTGGATCCTAAGTTTAATTGAGAGATTCAATGTGAAAATAAAATTCCATCCATTGGAATTTCGCTTTCATCTACTCTTTCGTTTCATCGTTCGCAACCACTATACAAGATCATAGTTGTATATTTAATAAAAATAATTTATATTGGTCTTTTTATTATACTATACTAAATTTTAATCTATTATATTAAAGGAGAATCCAATTTAAAAGAATAACCTTAAGTTACTGTGTTATTTACCTAATGTGCCATTGGACTTTCATTAGATATATAAAAGTTTATTAAATTTATTTTTTTCATTAAATTATTAAAAGCCTAATTTTTTTGTTATTCTTCTCATTAAGGACCCAATATTTTGTTTTTCTTTTTATTGAAAGGCCCATTTTTGCTTTAAATTTAGAACTATCTTATTTTTTTTGTTTTTAATTCAAAATTTATAAATACATTATATAGAAAACGCTAAAATTTTAAAAATAATATTTTAAGGGTCTAAATTTCATTGCCCAAAGGACCTAAAATATGTTATGTGAATATCTATTATGTTTTTTGTGCTGCGATTAGACTTTCTCAACTACTGTTCATATATCCAGAAAATTAAATTCATATAACCTGATCGATTTTTTCTATTTACAGAGAAGAAAATGGAGTAAAAGAAAAAAACAGAGAAAAAATCAATAAAAATAAGAAAAAGAAAGAAAGGAGAATAATAATGTAGAAAAAAGGTTAAAAGAAAAATAGAAAAAAATAAGAAGAAGATGAAGAAGAGAAAACAAAGAAGAACAATAATAAAACCTTAGAAAAAGAAGAAGAACAACAACAACAAAAAATAATGAAGAAGATAAAGACAAAAAATATATTAATATAGTATCTTCTTATTAAAAATTAAAAACACTTTTATTATATATTTTTTGACTAAAAAACATGAGTACGATTAACAAAAAATATACAATTAACCATTCAAACTTTAAACTCTAATAGTTAAAATCCAAAAATAATATTTAAAACATAAATTTTAATATTACAAATATTTACTCAGCGCAAACGTAAACACATGCTTAATATGTAAGAATGTTGCTTAATATATAGAGTTGTATTAAGCAAGTATTTACGTAACAATGAATATATTTTTTATATACATATTTTATAACATCTTAGCATTATTTGTAGACTAACTATTTTGAAAAAATGTTGTAAAACCATAAAATTATATTTTGAAACTGTATTTATAAAACCAATATTTTCTAAAATTAAATTTAAAAAAATTACCCGCCAGGTTAAATCCTAGTTTCTGATTGTAAAAGAAGAATCTCTAACTTGGTGCGTACAATAGGCCTCCAATTTTTATTTTTATTTGGTTTTTTATTGTTTTCTCTTCAAGAAGTTAAAAAAAAAAGTAAAACGAGAACAAATTATTTTTGATATGGTAAGGAACCGAACGGTGAATTTGAAAATAGGTACCGGGCGGTGAAAAGTTAGAGAGGAGTTAAAAAGTAAGTTGAAAAACAAAATATTGAGTAAAGCGATGAGAAACGAGTGTTCAGAGATAATTTGATAAAAAAGAACCATCCATCTGTCCTCGTTATTGGCTGTGGTAGCCACACCCACCTTATCCAAAATCTCCTCTTTCCCTAAAAATAAAGCTTCCCTGCTTTACTTCTCCCCTCTTGAGTCGATCCACTTCTGTTGCATCCTTCAAACTCATTCACAGGTATCTATTAACCTTAAGCTCTGTCTTCTCTCTCTATCAATTTTTTTTCTTCTCTCATTCCTTTATTGCTTGTCTGTTAATTATTGAATTCGCGTTAAACAATCTAATTTCAGCAAGAGGAATGGCGACAGCAGCGGCACCAGCGGTGATTTCATGGACGAGAACGGGATTGGTGTGCAAATCCGCACAGACACAGAGCAAATCTGAGATGAAAGTTTCATTCATAAGAGGACTTAATTCTTATGGCGGTCTCAAGGCACAGAACAACAAGGTTGTCTCCATGGGATTACCAATTTGCACAGAACAGTGTTTTGCCGATGTTGTGATATCTCTTAAGGGACGAAGAAGTGGTGGAGGAGCCGTAACCTCCACTTGTAACGCTGTCGGAGAGATTTTCAAGATTGCAGCAATCATGAACGCTCTTACTCTTGTTGGTGTTGCAGTTGGATTCGTTCTTCTTCGAATCGAAGCTTCTGTTGAGGAAGCCGAGTAAATAGATGGAATCCTTTTCTTATATAATATAAGTTTTGTTATTGTTGTTGTCAAGCTGCAATAAACTTGGATGCACATGTTACATTTGTTTATGAAGCTCTTATCTTCATATAATTTTCTGGTCAAATTTTATTTTTCAATTTTTAATTTTCAGTTGCTGTGAATGTAAACCAAACCGAATCTAATATCATGTTAGGCCAAACTTTCTTGTTGGATCTCGTACATGAAGAAAGAAGAGAGGGAGTTTGGGCTGCATCAAGTCGAAGCCCACAAAGATAAAAACAAAGCTGTTTAGGTTATAGATATATACATATATATACCTAAGTTCGTAAGACGTGTGCCGTAAGGTTTTAAACTCTCGTCTTCTCTAGAACTTCCTGTAATCAGAAACCAAGCTTGTAATCTCAAACGATTATAGTGGAAGTTGAGGGACAAGAGTCTCTCTCCCCAGACGTACCGGTTAGGCCGGGAATTGAGTTACCAAAGCTTTGTGTCCTGTTCTTCTATTCTCTTTAAATCCTGCAAACAAATCAAACCATATTCAAACTCTAATCGATCCAGAATAATCAACAATTGCCAAAATAAACGCAAAATCCTTGTTTTTTTTTTTTTTTTGTTAAAAGGTTGTCATATTAAAATTTAGAGAAATAGCACTCAATAACCATATTAGAGACGAAACTAGATAGAAGCCACACTATAGGTAGGAAATATTGAAAACCTGCAACACTGTCACACCAAATAGCCAGTGACGAGCGACACCAGGAGGGTGACGCTCATCACCCAGTCCTTAGACTCGCGAAGGAGCCGCAATACGAAACTAATGACGATCGCCAACCACCCCAGGTACGCTCATCACCCAATATAGACGTTGGCATTTATTTGTGTCAGCTTGGAAACTGCTTTTGAAGAGCAAGTCTATGCCATTACTGATTCCAAGAGATCCTGGTATGCTGATATTGTCAATTACCTAGCTGCAGAGGATGAACTACATGATTTCAAAGAATATGCTGAGAAGAAGTTCTTGAGAGAACTTAAAAGATTTTACTGGGATGAGCCATATCTTTACAGATATTGTGCATATGAGATTTACAGGAGATACATTGCAGAAATTGAGGTTCCAGATGTATTGTTTCACTGTCATGGAAGGCAACCAGAAAGAACGTGTGGAAGCTGAGCTTGAACCTGTGGATACAATGCTTATACCAACGGCTGGACCTTTAACTCGTGCTAAAGCTAAAAGATTCATGGAAGGAATGGGAGGTTTACTTAACCAAATTCTCACATCCAAAGAGAACTCGGATTGAAATGGAGAAGACTCAACTCAAGAAGTTCTAATGATGATCCAAGTCCAAGAAGAGCTCTAATGGGTTTGTGATTATATGTACTCTTTTTCCTTATCCTTGATATTGTCCCAATGGGTTTTCCAGGAAAGGTTTTAATGAGGCAAATGGATCTTAAAGTTAGTAAGCCCATTCACTTAAAGAGGACCATTTCGTGCCAAGGAAGGATCATATGAAGAGGCATGCACAAAATTAGTTCAAGGGTAACTTAAGTAGCTCAAAAGTCATCCAAACTTAGTTTATTTATTTTCTTTGATATTTTTATACTTTGACCACGAGTTTGCCTCTTGGTCTACTTATTTTCTTTTCTATATAACTCATGTAATCTCATTTGAGAAACATAACCTTTTTTTTTATATAAAACCTTTTGAGAGTTATTCTCTTTGTTTCTTGTGAACATTTTGATCTGTCTTGGTGTGTCATATCCAAGGGCCAACCCGGTTTATCATATGTTCTTCATCATATTTGTGTGACCATTCTACCAACTGAAGTTAGTTGTTTGCGGTATAAATTAGTATCAGGTGGTGAGTTTAATATACTCACTATTGGAGCTACCTGCATCACCTTTCTAAGGTTCCACCGCCTCTTCCTTTGGAGTCTTCGCTTCCATTGGATTAAAGGATTATCCCTACCAACTTTAGAGTGCAAGATCTTGGAGGATCGTATCATCTGGTATCAGAGCACCACTCAAAAGTTCGGTATTCTATCATTTTGTTCATCGTCTCATCTTTTCATTTTCATCTATTCACCTTATTATCTCTTCATCTTCTATCTTTTTATCTTCTATCTTTTCATCTTCTTTTCTTCCATTTCTCAGTTTTAATTTTTGTTTTTGAATAAATTAATTTTATTTTCGTATCCAGTAACAAAAAAAAAGATCTAAAAAGTTCTCGAATTTGTTTGCAAATCAAAAGTTTATTATTCTATTATTCTTTTCTATTCTATTTCTTTTCTTTCTATTCTATTTCTTTCTCTTCTTTCTATTCTATACTTGGTTTACTGGTTGATTCTTGAGAGAAACATATTGGGATTTGATTGTTAGTCCTATTGGAACTTTGAGAATTCACTGAGTGACATTTGATTGTGTGAAACACCTTTGCGAGGGAAACACTTGAGAGAAACACTTGTGAGGACTTTTATTTCTAATCTGTTTGTTAATCTTAGCAGGAAAAATCATGTCTCAAGATGGACAAAACCGAGAAGGAGTACACGTAGTCCCTAATCTTCAGATGGAAGCCTTGTTTGTTAGGAGAGATGCAGCGTATGCTGAGAAATGAGATCAATGGTGTTTATGAAAGGTTGAAGGAAGTCAGAGTTGAGGCTAGACAGAGGCAACCTCAAAACGTGCCTGTCCAAAGAAAAGAAGAACAAAGGAGACCAACAAGGGTTAATCTAGACGATGACTACTACAGCCGTGATGGTGGCTCTTCTCAGGGGAGTAGAAGGAGACCTAGATGTGATAGAGACGACGGAGGTCATGCTGATAACAACTTGGGAGATCTTAAGCTGAAAATTCCATCATTGCATGGGAATAATGATCCAGACACCTACTTAGAGTGCGAGAAGAAGACTGGAGTTAGTCTTTGACTGCCTAAACTATTCAGAAGCCAAAAAGGTTATAGTAGCAGCTACTTAGTTTTATGACTATGGTATTAACTGGTGGGATCGGTTTGTTACAAGCAGGAGACGAAGTGGATAATATCCCGTTGAGACATGAAATGAGATGAAAGCGACAATGAGGAAACTCTTTGTTCCTAGTTACTACCAAAGAGAGCTACACCAAACGTTAAGGAGACTTACACAAAGTAACAAGAGTGTGGAGGATAAGTTTCAGAAAATGGAGACTCTTATGATAAGAGCTGATGTTGATGAGGACAGAGAAGCCATAATGGCAAGGTTCTTGAATGGGATGAGCAGAGATCTTTAGGATCAGATGGAACTACAACATTATGTAGACTTGGAGGAAATGTTACACAAAGCAATCTTGATGGAGCAGCAGCTCAAGAGGAGGGGTACAACTCATCAGTCTTATGGTGCTGGATCATCTAGTGTGAGACCTAGTTACTCCAGAGAAGTAAAGACAGTCCCAAAACCACGGTTTGATGCTAAACCAACCACTACTGGTCAAGATAACAAAGGGAGAGCCAAGCTTACAAGGACAAGGAATCGTGATGTTCAGTGCTTCAAGTGTCATGGCAAGGGACATTATGCCAATGAATTTTCTAACCAACGAAACATGTTGCTTTTAGACAATGGAGATATTGTTACTGAAGAAGAAGGAGAAGTGGTATCACTGTCCTCATCAGAAGAACATGAAGAACTTCCAACTAAAGGTGATTTGCTTGTTACTAGAAGGTCATTGAGAGTTCAAACAAAGTCTGATGAGACTGAACAGAGAAAGAACCTGTTTCACACGAGGTGTCTTGTTCAGGAGAAGGTTTGCAGCCTCATCACTGATGGAGGAAGTTGTACAAATGTTGCAAGTCAGACATTGGTTCAGAAGCTGGGTCTACAAACTGAGAAGCATCAGAGACCTTACAGTCTTCAATGGTTGAATGACAATGGAGAAATGACAGTGACAAAGCAAGTAAGAGTTTCTTTTTTGATTGGAAAGTATACTGATGAGATCCTTTGTGATGTTTTGCCTATGGAAGCTGGTCATATTCTTTTGGGGAGACCATGGCAGTATGATCGCAAGGTTACACATGATGGATGCACAAACAAGCATTCTTTTGAGTTTAAGGGGAAGAAGTTCACTCTCGTTCCACTGACACCATCTGAGGTACATCAAGATCAAAAACACTTGTGCAAGAAGAAAGAAAAAAGAGTTTGAGTGCCCCAAACACTAATCACCAAAAAGAGAGTGAGAGTTTGAGAAAAGCCAGGAAAAGGCCTATGAGAGTAAACCTGTGAGAAACTCAAACTTCTTTGTGAAATCTTGTGAGGTTAAGATATCTCTTTTCACTAAGCAGCATGTGATTTTGTTTGTTTACAAAGAGGCTCTCATGAGCTTGACTGACCTTGAACCGGCTCTGCCGAGTGAAGTAACTTTTCTTTTGCAGGATTTTGGAGATGTATTCCCTGAAGAAAACCCAAGTGGTTTACCCTCAATCCGTGGGATTGAGCATTAAAAAGACTTTGTACCTGGAGCTTCACTGCCAAACCGTCCAGCTTACAGAACCAATCCAGTGGAGACCAAGAAGTTGCAAAAGAAAGTTGGCGAGCTGATGGAGAAGGGATACATTAGAGAGAGCATGAGCCCTTATGTTGTGACAGTGTTACTTGTTCCAAAGAAGGATGGAAGTTGGAGAATGGGTGTTGACTGCAAAGCCATCAACAACATAACAATTAAGTATCGCCTACCTATACCTCGCTTAGATGATATGCTAGATGAATTTTTTGGTTCTAGTGTGTTCTCTAAGATTGATCTGAAAAGAGGATATCACCAAATTTGCATGAAAGAGGGTGATAAATGGAACACTGCTTTCAAAACCAAACCGGGATTGTATGAATGGTTAGTGATGCCTTTTGGTTTAACTAATGCACCTAGTACATTCATGAGGTTAATGAACCATGTTTTGAGAAAGTTCATAGGCGTTTTTATAGTGGTATACTTTGATGATATCCTGATTTATAGTAAAAGCCTAAGTGAGCATGTAGA